GAAGATCTTAATTAATCTTTACAGTATACTGAAAAAAAAAAGGGGGGGCACAATGACAATATGTACCTTTTTTTTTTTCCTTAGAGAAGGGCAAGAGTGTGGAAGCTTACTATGATACCCAAAGGAAAGGGAAATGGGTGAGAGCCTGAGGTGCTCTCCTCAGTGTGGGGCGGCATCACAGTGTCTATAGATCCCAGGATAAAGCTCAGGATCAGTGTGTCACTCCTCAGCTCTTCTCGATCACTTCCACAGTTTTGCTGCTGCACTGAAATTCCCAGGGCACACTAAAAGTATCTTTAGCTTGCGGGTTTCTGTCATTTGAGAAGATGGCTCACAAGCTCTATTTGACTAAAGGAATTACTGTAGGTATAAAATTACAGTAGCACTAAGCAGATTAAATAAATGACCTATTTCATCACCTGCCTCTTAAATTATAAATTTTAACAGTTTGTTTTTTTTTTTTTAGTTCCACAGGTAGTCATTTCACAGTTCCTAGGTTTTGTTTCATAGTTTTCAAACCCAATCATTTAGCTTAATTTTTCCAAATTTGATCTAAAATTTGAATATATCTTATTGGTATAGTTACTGACAAATGTCACCTGCTCAATACCAAGTAAGAAAAAAATGTATACCCATTCTAATTCTCATTATTCTTCTAGCTGCGTATGCAGTATGAAAATCCACTCAGCCAAGCAACACTGGGGTACAGATGTCTGACAAAGAATAATCTAAAGATCCTGAGTTTGGTTTCCTGATCTGTTTTCTGTGCATGCTGTCACACTGTAATAAAGTTTTCCTAATTAATCATGCTTTCATACTTCATACCAGTCCTGCTTCTGGCCTGTGCCTGGTGTACCTGTTGCCGCAATAGTTTTTTCCACTGACTGAAAAACTGCAATTCCAGTTGGACACACATTAGGAATATCCTGGGTCTGCAAGTCCCTATTTGCAATGACGCAAAACTTGTCAGTATTACGAATATTAACATTTTCAGTCATCATCTCCACATACAAAGTGCACAGTACGAGACACACAGCTCCCCTTTTCTTTTTTGAGTATAAGCATGAAGATATATCTACCTTCATTCTACATTTAAGAAGGCACGAAGTATCACTAGAGAGAGATTGCATAGTCACTACTTTTGCTTTTTTCCTCCCTTAGTTTCATTAAAACTTGTGGTCTTCCTGCCTACAGATCTTATCCAGTGGGACACAGGAAGAAATTCCATTCTTTTCAGTGATGTTGCATTTTTTTAAATTAGCCAACACTATCTGAGCAGGACATTATCTTTGTACTGTGTGCACTTTCTGATTCCAAATTAAAATAAACATTGCAAAAAAGGTCTTCAATAACTGAAAACATTCATTTGTGTAAGAAAAAAGATTTCCTCCCCCAAAGTTTATGCATAATGAAGGTAAAAATGAACAGGCAGCTGGCCTATGATGGTTTATGCATCACTCTTTATGATTATATTTTTATTTTTATTGATTCTAGTAGGCATTAGACATGCCTAGAATATAAACAAAAAAGACAGGGCTAATATGTTAGAACTAGTGGATTTCAATTGTTTTAGTTTACTAGTGCTTATATATGTTTAACAAATATGAAACTATTTCCCACCTAAAAGGTCTGCCTTCACTAACACAGACCAGAAAATATTTTTTAAAAGTCTTATTCACAAATTGTGTGTCTATTTCACAGACCCTATATATACTAAACTACAGTAGAAATTATTGGGAAAGGAATTTGGCACCATCATTAGCAAAGGTTTCAAGAAAAGAGCTTACTGAATACAAATATGAGAAAATACCCATAAGAAAAGATCATAAGAGCTGAAATTGAAACCACCACAGAAGTCTGAAAACCAAACTGGGTTTGGTACAGCTGTGTTACAGCTCCTACAGGCTGTGAGCTGGCTGTGTCGCACCTGAGCACACTGCTGGTGTCACCATATAGCACACATGGGTCAGGGTGACAGCTCTGCCTTAGGAGCTCATTTCACTGACAGTTGCAGTGGACAGGAAAGGTAGTAGTGATAGAAATACTTAATGGTTCTGTCAAGGCAGATGCTTCCATGCAGGGGACATGCACTTTTTTTGGCATAGCAATCTTGTTAGACTATATGTTATCTCCAACCTTATTAGAAAACGTAGATTTACAACTGCTTATCTCAGAGGTGAGAGACATTTAAAAATGTGGCAAAAGTCTCCAGATTAACCTCCTCGGACTTTAGACACTAAGCAGCCTGATTTCCAAAATCGAAAATTAGCACATCTACTTAAGTGCCTACATTCTGGGGTGCTCAGCAAATTCCAAGATGCCCAAAAGCCATGTTGGGTACCCATCAGGTTTCACTCAGCCTGAGTGAGTGAGCAAACCCCACTGGAGTGGATGGAAAGACACTACTGTGTTTTGAATCAAGTTTATCAACTGCAGAAGCAGCTACAGTTTGAACCACATGTGCAAATCCGATCACCAGATGTCTTGGCATCTGTATAAGCTTTTAGAAAATGTTTGTGAGCAATACTGATAATATCTGGGCTTTGAGAATTAGCCTCTTCCCCATAGTCATTCATTTTGGATGTCAACTGTTCTTCATATAAGGGGTTATTAAAGAGCTGCCAAAAGCAAGAATTGTGTCACAAGGTGTGTTTTTATCAAAATTATAACAAAATTCTTCCACATTGCTGGCCTGGAAAAGCATACTATATTCTCCTAGAAACAGATCATCTGCAAAGAAAGCAGAATTTCAAGTTCTTAAACCATTTACCACTTCAGCTGGTAACACGTCACAATGGAAGTCCTGCTGATAATAATTCATCTTTTTTAGTCCTGAAAGCAATGGAAAAAAGGTCCCAGACATGTTTCCATCATCTACCCCATGGGACAAAAAGAACCCTTCTCACCATGCCTGCTGTGGCAGTGTAATGCTATGCAGGTCCTCCTTTGTGTGATTATTAAAAGTACCATATAAACCTCTTTATTCCCATACCCCAATTAGTGAGGGAGCTTTTCAGTATTGTCTCCACACAGCAGGATATTTGCAGCTGTTTCAAGACCCCAGTTTCGAGCCCAGATGTCCCCAGCAATCAAGTTGAACAAAATGGAGTTGAATTTCTACAGTATGCCAGCTTTGGGTCTTATTTTTTGGGATGTTTGGTGGAGGAAGCTCCAGACTGGTCTGCAGAAGCCAGGACAGCTCAGCTGAGAGAGCTTTCAGAGAAACTGACTTGCCAAGGAGAACATCCTCATCCTCCTTGGGAATATACTTGTTGGGCTGAGGTGTCCCTAATGGCAGGAGACCTGCAGGACAGGCATTGGTCATGCCTTCTCAGACCAAATGATAAGCTTCAGAAAAGCACCTAAAACAGTTCAAGCATTAATGTACCATTAGTCCAGCGGCCAGACTACAGCTCATCTGAACTAAAGTTGCCCCAACATGTGCAGCAAATGAAGAATTCATATAGAATAAACGCCTGCACTTATGCCTTAGAACAAAATTTGGCAAGTGGGAGAGAGCAGTGGTCTCCCTTTCACACAGGTATATTTGATTTTCACATAGCTTATGACAAAGCTAAATATAATGCTGCACAGTACGAAGAAGTACAAGGGACTCTACGGTCCCATGGAAATCCTAATTCAGTGCTTCAGATGAACCAGAGAACTTTATTATGGCTGTGTGTGATACAACTCTGAATAAATTTACTTTGTGATAGACATCTATGGCAGGATTTCTTTTTTAAGTGCTCTATGCAAGCCACACCAATTGTAATTGAACAAAACTCTTTCCAAATAGCAATGCTAAGGTATGATCAAGTTGAGCTGGGAGGTCACATTTTGCAGCAACTAATTACTGAACTAGGAGGAAAAGAAATATATGTAATACTTCCCAAAGACAATTGAAAATCTTTATTATACTGTTATAAAACATCAGAAAAATAATTATTTTCATAACCTTGTACTGTCATGGTTAGAGAAAGCGGATGTGAAAGACTCCCATGGTAACCTCTGAGGAAGGGTGTTGTGGTCCTTCTCCAAGAGCAACAAACTTGCACAGAAAATTGCATTGTTAAAATGTTCAAAATTATCACCAGAATGTGTGTCACAAACTATCTATAGTCAATATTCCTGCATTTTTCGATATTTGGCATATTTCAGTGACAAAAAGTGTCATCAAAAGTCTGCCATTTCTCAGAAACAGGTCTGCATGACGCTGTAGTAGCCTCAAAAGCCTCCAGTACATATCCCAAGGTCACCACAAGAAGGATGTGTAGCACACAGGTGAAGTGGGTTGAATCCTAAAGGGATGAATGTTATTTCTGCTGAGCTACAGTGCAGTGAAATAGAGCGGCACGGAACCGGCAAAGCCATAAATTGTTCACAGGGCTCCGATCAGTCACCGTGTAATATTGCTCACGAGAGGTGAGGTTACATTAGAGCATCCATTCCAAGAGTCTTAAAATCAATCAATCAATCAATCAACCTCTTTCTAAACGCAAGATCAATTACTTTGGTTGAAAAATCACAACTAAAAATCTGAGGCGACCCCCCGCTCGGGGCACGGCGGGCGCCGCTGCGGGGCAGCTCCGCCACGGGCGCGCTGCGGGAGCGGCGAGCGCTCCGAGGGGCGGGCGGGACCTCCAGCCTCCGCAGCGGGACAGAGCGCTACCTGCACCGAAACGCGCCATGTCTTTCGAATTTGCCATTTCCCTTTCGCGTCACGGCTAACACCCCGTCGGTGTGCGTTTTCACACAGAGGTGCCCTCAGCAATTATTCACGGTCTCTTGACGGGAAGCCCCCGCTCCAGCTGGCTGGGGGGGCGCACCGGCAGCGGCTGCCCCTCGCTCACAGCAGCCCGGAGCTCTCAGTCCCGCCGTGCCCCGCCAGCCCCGGGGATTCGCCGCCCTCGGCGCTCCCGCGGCACCTGTTGCGGCCGGGCCGGGCCGGCCCAGGGGGGCAGGGGGCGGCCCCGGGCCCGCGGCGCTCAGCGCATGCGCCCCGCCGTCGGGAATTGTTGCTCCTCGCCGCTCCGCACCAAGTTCCAGCGCGCGGCGCGTCCCCCGTGAGCGGCCGCCGGGATGGGGGCGGCGGCGGCCGGGCGGGCCGGACCGCGGGAGCTGCTGCTGCCGCTGGCGCTGGCCGTGGCGTGCGCGGCGCGCAGGTGAGCGCCGTCAGCCTGCGGAGGGAGGCAGGGAGGGAGGCGGGCGCGGGGCGCCCGGGCGGCCTCCCTAACCCAGCCCGTGCTCCTTCCCGCAGCGCCGACGGGCCCAGCAACATGTCCTACGTGAAGGAGACGGTGGACAGGCTGCTCCAGGGCTACGACATCCGCCTCCGCCCCGACTTCGGAGGTGAGGCGCCCGCGCTCCCCCGACCCGCGCTCCGGCCCCCCGCGGTGCGCTAACGCCGCCTCCCGCTCCCCCCGCAGGTCCGCCCGTGGACGTGGGCATGCGGATAGAGATCGCCAGCATCGACGTGGTCTCGGAAGTCAACATGGTGAGTGACCCGCGAGCCAGGGCGGTGGAGCCCCGGCGCCGTCCCGCCGGTGCGGGGGCAACCGGAGCCCCGGGGCTGGGAGCCCGGCTACCTACCGAACCACGGCAAGTGCTACAGAATAACCAAGCATGTTACAGTTGCTAGGAAAAGTTATTTTGTATTTTTGAGATAACGTTGGCTCGCCTGCGGTGGCACTTCAGAGTGCCCTGCCTTGGTCAAAATGCTTGCTGCAGGTTTGAGGTTCTGGGTCCCTCCTTGCCCTGGTTTGCCGTTTGCATAGTCAACAGCTGTCTTCGGAAACGTTGGAGTTTCTTGAGCTGTAGCAGCAGATGCCAGATGTGCGTGTTTTCATGTTAAATTATTTAAAGAGTTAGACACTTCGCTTTGCAAGCTAGTGGCCTTGAGTAAAAGGTGCAAAGAAAATAAAAAGGAGCTTCTAGAAAACACTCTTGTAGAAGGGAAAGAATAACGACATTGCAGAATAAGTACAAAGGATGTTTCCAGCTATAAAAATCAGAAAAGTCTCGTAGCTACAGGTGTGAAACATACTGCATTTGATTTCAGATCTGCAGCAAGAAGGAATGCTAATAGACATGCAGGCTTAAAGAGCAAATGTGTCTGTTTAGTGCCTGCTTCGTTTGACAGCCCTTTCCCAGAAGAAAACGAAAAATCAGTTGTAAGTTTGAACATTATACAAAATCATGTTGAATTAGTCTGCACCGTGGGCATTTTGCTCTCAGTCTCTTATGTTTGATCTCATATGAAAACCTTTCTCATATGAAAATGCTTTCTGTACATAGGGGAATACCTACTTAGTTAAAAGAAGCCAGAAACCTTACATTTCCATCCTGATCAGCAGTTTATTTTATTGGGTGATATTTGCCCATGCAAAGTAATTTACTCAAGAGTGGGAATTTCTTCCTTGATGTATTAGTTAATAGCTGTCATTAAAACAATCTCTTCAGAGATTGTTTTCATTTTCATATTTAGGTTTTTTCTGTGTTTGTTATATATACACAGTTTATGTTTGTTTGTAACTGTTATATTTGCTTATGAATATGGATGGCAGAATGGGGAGGAGAGTTGTCACGTTGTGTGTAGCACACTAGGTTCTGCAGGCTGCTAATGCCACTCAAAGAGAACATTTTGCAAGTTTCAGCTCCTGGAGTTCTTGTTGCTGTATTGTACTTTCAGGGAGGAACATGGTACAGACAGTGCAGATGAGGCAGAGAAATCAGAACATAGACCTTATCAAAATTGTCAAAGAACAAATATACTCCAACTCCAAACTTTTCCAACCACCCTGTAATGGGATTGCTGCTTCTACAAAGCATTACACCTGGGAAAAGGCAAACAGACCAAACAACAAAATACCTGTTCTGAAAGGTCCAGAATTTGTAAAATCTCAGGACCAGAAATATTGTTAATCTGTGGATGTGTCAGTTCCCAATCACAATCTCACAGGGCATTAATTGCATCAGTTCACAGCATTTCTTAGTTGCATGCTGGATCCATCAAAGCTTTCTTCTCCATTCTAACACTTACACAGCCCCTGGGAAACTGTAATTTGAACCTTCTGATTTTTGATTAGGGGAAGTTATGTGCCAGATGGATTCTTTGAGCTAGGAGGGCAGCTTGACTAAAACTGGTCAAAAAGTAAGAAAACGTTTTCACTTCATAAAATGCCGCATCTCACAGCAGAAGGAATCAACTATTCCCAGTTATAGCCAGTAGCCCATTACTTAAGGCAAAACACTGGAAAACCAGTCTGCATTCTGAATCAGTCTGAAAGGCCTTGCCCATATCACAGGTGCTACCTGTACATACCCATGTGTAGAGTGTTCTTTGTTGTAACGTCTTTATTGTGTTGCTAGAGGCTGTTTGCCTGGTTTTGGACAATGACCAGTTATTTCATCCATCATTGCAAAAATGAGGGAATTGACATCTTGGCTTAAGAAAAGTTTTTTTCTACCTAGTAAAATAATGCTTTGTTCTAGTACTTTTTTTTTCTGAGAAATCACAGCCTTGAGATGCTTAATGTTGCAGTCACATGTGAATTGTTTACCTTCTCTTCTTTTAAACTGTTGTCTTATAGATTTTTCTATTTTTAATTTGTTTAGTAAGAGCTGCCATTTTGTGGCTTCAGACCCAGAAATGTTTTTCAGAAGCTCCTAATTTATAGCTTCTTTTGGCTATAGGGCAGTTTTCTTACTGAAGGAAAGGAAATGACTAACATGAGCAGGAAAGCAACACCCTCATCATGTGAGCTCCTCCTGGCAAGAGAGTCTGGTTGGATTCCACCAGAATTCAGCCAGTCTCACCTTAGCAGTATTGGAGGGAGTTGTCTTATCCCTTGGCTTTCCTCAGGAACATGAAACCTTATACCGAGAATGACAGAGACAGCTATTCCAAATCATAGTACCCACAGGGTTAAATTTTGTATTCCAGTCTCAATGCCTAAATAAGAGTAAAGATTAATGTATATATATCTAGGCTAAGAAGGAGGTGTTCTCCTTTGGTGCATTAGCTGGACTTTGTCATGGCTATAGGATGTCTGCCAAGTGAACAGGCTGATTTGTATGTCCAAATAAATCCAGTCCTCAGATAAAAAGTTGAAATATAGACAACAGAATTATTTTGAATTCTCTGAACACCAGTAGTAATAACTGCCTGTTCAAGCGGCTTGTCTAGTTGTAGTGTCTTCTTCTAATATACTAAACTATTGTGAAATACTTTACAAATACTTAACTAATGAATCGAGACTTGCACAGTCTTGAAGTCAACTGTTCTGTTATTTCCCCCTGAGTACTTGGTCCTCATCTGTTCAGCTCTTTAAACATTGTTTTATAGCTGCTTGGTAGTTCAATAATACTGTGGTGAGCTGCCATAGCAACTTTTGCAGAAGGATTATTTGAAGCATTCATTCTTATGACTCTTCCATTTGACATCAGATATGTTGTCTTATGTTGACTTTTGCAGGTAATAAGCTGAAGAGCTTGTCAAACAATGAACAAGCAGGAGAAGTAGAATGTAAAAGTCCCAGGGACCATTGCCCAGTTTCTCCCTAATATACTTGAAGTTTTAGTGTTTCCATCAGATTTGCACATCCTTGCTACAGTTACTGGAAGCATTCTCTTCCAAAGGTACAAGGTGACCCTTCCCTTTGTCTCAGTTAATGACTGCTCAGCTAACTTTCATCCATGACAGAGTTCCTTTAGAAGTATATCGGACATATATATTAATATAAAGATTTCATTAAGAATCGTGCTATGACTAAATCTATTAAGCTGCTGTGATGTCTGGTTTACTCTGATACCTTTACATGGTTAACAGAAGGTGCTACTTGTACATCAAGAATAAACATGGATAGCATGATTGATGGTAACTACTGTCAAGCTTCAGGGTATGCAAATAAATAACATATTGCTGTATCTACTAGGAAACAGTCAAGACTAGACTCTAAAAAAAAAAATCACGTGGTTCATGACTTAATTTTCTCTAAAATGTATTTCTTACTGAAGAAAAAGTGTTAAAACCTTTACAGTAGGCAAAAGATAGCTGTACATATTTTAAAGTTTAAAAAAAATTCATATGATAAATAACTTCTTTTAGAGCACTTAAAAGAGACATCAAGCAGATTAAAAAAGCCTTTTTTTTTTATTTTGGGAACACTGTTCCTGACCTACCATACTGATTTTACACTGATGATGATGTAGTTTCTGTAATCACAGACTGAAGGTTTCGTGTCTCAGCAAAAAGAGGTTAAAGAAAACACGGAAAGAATGTTCAATTGTCTAGCTTCACTACAGTAGTACTTAAGGCTCTTACATTTATAATTGGTTAACAGACTCCAGAGGCAGAACTTCCCTTAACATTAATAAACATATATATGTATATATATGTACAAACAGAAGTTTTTCAAATTTGCCTGTAAATCAAGAGCAAGGACATGGAATCCTCCAGAGCCTAGAAGAGCAGAAGGCCTTCACCTTACTTTAGGGCTGATGCCAGCCAGGTGGCTGTGGCATCTTATACTGGTAGATGTTTAGTCAAGATAAGCTAAATCTGTGGATTTAAACACTGGGTTGAGCTGGGTAACCAAGGCACTGAAAGTTTCACCATTAGTGCTGGCAGGCCAGTGCTCATGCATTAGACCCCAGTTTTAAGAATGGTAGAAAGACGTATGGATGCAGGTTATCTTAAGACACTTTTTGCAGACTGAGAAAGACTAAGTTTACAGACATAGCCAGAGTTTCACAGGTCTTGTTCTTTCTCTCTGTCTTGATTAAGTATCTTGACAATTAGCATAGTGGCCATCGTGAATCTCAATGTAGGAAACAAACTCTACAATAGGAAACCAAATTGGCATTATGAACTCCATCTCATGCCTCTTTGAATCAGAGCATCCAAGTCTCGTTTGTGATCTTAAGTCTGGTTCATATAGAACTAAAAAGTCAAAAACTCCTTCAGTTCAACCAGGATGGCAGCGCAAGTGATCAGGGTAGTCATAGTGACAATAAATGCTCCTTGGTCTAAATATATTTACCTGACAACGTTCATACAGATTAAACTGATTTTTTTTTTCAAAAGACATAAAGCTCAATAATTACTAATTAAAATTTGCTTAGCTGTAGGGCAAAAGAAGAAAGAAGTACTTTTCTGTTGTATAGCGTCTATCCTAAAGAACATGAAGGACATGCAAAAGCACTTTTAAATGAATATTAATACAAATGTTTGGAAAATTATTATTTTTTTTTTTCAGCACATGTGGAAAAACTAATCAGGTAGTAATACATAAAGGTCAAATCATTTTGTCACTTTTTGTCACTGCCTATTCCAAACAGGAGTAATTATATTAAAGAGTGAAACATGGAATGAATATAGAAATTGGCAGCCTGAGGTTAAACGACTGGGTCACTGTCACTGGAAGTTTTGTTGGCTCATTTTTCATTTGACAAGAATAAGAGGTTCTTCAACAAAATTGGCAAGTAGGCAGAAAG